TCATTCATTGGTACTTCAGCTCCCCTGAGAATAAATTATATAAGCTTGTACCATGAGAGATGTTACCTGGTCAGCATACTTAGCAGTAAGATCTCTGTCATTAGGATTGTACGTCCGCTAGTTCAGGTCACTTATGTTATAACACATCACTGTCTCTTCTCTTCCCTCCTTCAGCCCTGTGAGTGGACACAGTTTAGGTAACAAGGCTTACAACATATGGTCCACAGGGCTCATGGTGCATATGGTAGAATGCTGGCCCAGGGTAATGGCTAGTGAAATGTTGAGCCTTTTTTTCCTCTTGCATTTTTAAATTAAATACTCATTTAGATTCCCCAAAGTGTAACACAACTTTTTACTGTTAATTGGTAGGCATGCAGGTGTTGTGCCTGAATGCTAATGGAGCAAAGTGACAAAGGCTTTTTCTGGTATGGAGGAATAGCGTGGAATAGGGAAGCGTGGAAGTCAACCCAGCAAACCTGTTTTGTTCAGGATAAGATTAATCTTAAAATGCTCTTAAGCATAGAATTAAGTCAAATAGACTACAGATATTTTTCTAATATCTAAGACAGATGTGTTCCAGTAATGATAATAGCTACTTAGTTATCCAAGTGACTGGCAGGATCTCGCTGTGATAGAATAAAGCTCTTGGCAGTACATGTGAACACGCAAGTTCTTTTTTCTCAATGACATCTTTCCAATAATAATTAATATTTTTTTACTAATCTCTTGGAAAGTTAACAAGATTCTTTCTTTTGACCTTTTCACATCTTCTGTCCAGAGCTGCTCTTTTTCACCTGTTGGCAGAGTAGGTGATATAGTCTGACATAGAAATCACTGAAATATCACAAGTTGAATACATTATGAGGAATGAGTTTAAAAAAATACATAATTTTTCTCTCAAGTGCCATTTTCTTAATCTTTAGAAATAAACATGAAATACTTAACTTTATATCAAATAGAGATTTCGGTTTGTCAGGTTGTTTAAAAACTTCCTAAAACTTAGGAGTGATGCAACAGAGTAATGAAACGAAATATTATAATATCAAAGAGAGAATCTGGTATCGTATTTTTAATAGGAATTTTGTTGCAGTTGTTTTTGCACAATTTAGTAGACCTTCTTCCCTATTCTCTTCATTTCCACTACAGATAATAATTTTGGGACATTAGTAGCCAGTTGTATTTTTATCTTTGCTTTTGAAATAATAGGAGACTTTACAGGAAGGGACCTCAAAAGAGTATTTAGTCCTTGATTTATCATTTGCTTATAACTTTAGCATTTTGGAAGAGCTTGCCTTATTGCTATTGCCAGATGGAGGAACTAAGAAAATACCTTAGGTAAACAAAATATTAAAACCAGTAATTTTGTAACTCTTAAATTACACAGAGTTGCATTAAATTGTCTTTAATTATAGCAGAAATTATTAAAAAGCACTGATGTTCTCCTTGGATTTGCATCTTTGAAAAGGACAGGTATCTATAGCAGTTGGGAATTTGGAATTAATTCTCACGTGTCACAGACTGCAGTGGTGTAAGATCTGTAGGTTGAGTAACACTAATGACTGTCTCAACTACAGTCAATTCTTACCAGATGAAGGAAAAGCTTTATAACACAATGAATGTAAAAATATATTCTGTGTGTCTGTCTAGTGTATATATATAATATACATTTGTGAGTTAGCCTAGAAAAGCATAGTACTTTCATGTATGAAGAACGTAGATTTTTTTTTTTTTTAAAAAAGCAGAGTTAGGATGTGACTTGGTGCAGTTGCTGTGAGTTCTGCATTACATAGTGCAGCATTTAGGTATTGACAGCGGTTTTTTGTTATATTAAAGTATATCTTGGGTAACCTAAAATGATAGCTATTTGTCTACCCGTCCTTGAAAACCTCCAGTGATTCCATAGGTTGTCTATGCAATTTTTTAACTTTATGTAACAGTTAAGCTAGAGATTAGGAAAAAAAAAAGGCAATTTTCTTGCTGCAATTAAAACCTATTGCCTCTTGCTCTGTACTTAGTGAATATGAAGAGCAATTATTGTATTTTTATTTTGGTTAATCATATGTATTTGGAAATTCTCCCTCATCTTCTTGAAGATAAATAACTCCAATTCTCCCAATGTTTTTCTTATATGCCATCTCATTAATGTCTCATCTCATTTTTTCTCCTCTCTTCTGAATTCATTCTAGTTAGTCAGTATTTTTTAAAATGTGGGTCCCAAATACAGACACTGTAATTAAGCTTAATTTTCATTAGTGCTCAGTAGAACAGGAAGACTCTTATGTATTTTTTCTGCGAAGTTACTGATTATACATTCAAGGGTGATAGTTTGCTGAATTGCTTTTACAATAGCATGACATTTTGGCCATTTTTGGTTTGAGAATTACTAATTCTTTACAAGCACATGTGAATATATGTGCTTGGATACACACACATTTTCTACTACTGATCTTGTTATCTTTTAGGTGCTTATAAATGGATTGATTTATTTATGCTTAAATAATTCTGTGGAAAATGAAGGCTGGTTCGCTAATAGCTTTGACCTTTTATCCTTTGTAAAGATAGGTACTACACTTCGTTTTCCATTCCCTGGAACTTTACCCATCCTCTGTGACTTCTGGGAAATTAATACTAATAACTGGTGGTTGCTGCAAATTTCTGAAATACTGCAGTGTTTTTCATCAGGCCCACTTAGTTTGAAAGCATCTACTGCATTCAAGAAGTATCTAAAATAATAGGAAGTTGTCTCAGCAGTAGTCTGTCTTTGTTTTTCAGTGATTAAGGAGCCCAATGTTAATATCATTTAAATTATTTTTTTTAATAGAGTTAATCTATTGAAAGAAAAGGAGGATGAACATACATACCTAGACCTACACATTTTAGCAGAAACTTAAAATCAAAATAGCTAGCTAATTGTAAGGAGGTATTTTCATTTGTTCCCCATAGGGAAAAGCTTCCCTGTCATGCATACATTTGAAATGTAACATGCTAAATCATTGTCTATCTTTGCATGCTGAGAAGTTAGTGCAATTTCCTAGTGATCTGATATCACTCTCGCGTATTGGTCTAGCAGTTCTTGATTTACATTCTAATGCTTCATCTGTCATAACCCACACATAAGAACTGACCTCCAGGCTTACGGCAACATTTGGAAATTTGCCATTTTTTTTTCTTCCCTAGATGAGTAATTCAGCCTCTTTGTCACAGATGCAGAAACTTCCTTTAAAAAAAAAATCAAGGGAGCTACTGTAAACGTTTTTCCTGTTGCCAACTGGAAGTTCAATAGTATCCATTTGTACCACAGAAGGTTATTAAAGCTTTATAAATGAGTCATTTAAAGCTTGACTGACCTCTCTTCAGAATCCTTCTCTTTCCATTCTTTATAATTATATTCCTTCTGTATTAAACTTGTAGTCATTAACCAACTATATAACTTCCAATTAGGAAGCAAATACTGTTCCCCCATTCTTTTCAAGATACATTTTTATTAAGATTTGTTCCCTGAAAGGGAAGGTTTTCTTTGTGTGGTAGTGAAAAGCCTACGGAGTGCATCAAATTTGGTTTAAATTTGTTGGAATCCTAATAAGCAGAACCTGATCTGCAAGCTGAAGGTCTGCAAAGGGATTTATCTTGATAAAATAAATTCATAGGAGGCCCTTAGCTCTCTCCTGAACAAGTGCAATTCGGATGGAACAGAAGAAATTTAATTAAATTATCAGCTCATCTCTAAGCAAGGACTTTTGCTTTTTAAATTTTCTTCTTGATGTTATCCAGAAAATTAATGAATAAGAATGCAGTGGAACTACCTAGACAATGGATGTAACATGCCTCTTGGTTAAGCTATTCCTGTATCTTAAGCAGAAACAAGAAATTAATCTTTTGGGCTATAGATTTAGAGAGAATTGCCTGTATCGAAATTTTTTGTTGGACACTGAATTATGTTGGCACATTATTACAGAAAAATGCCAATTTCCTATCTGTGTGAGAATATGCATGCATTTTTCTGCTGGAGGTACTAAGCTGCATTTTTTAGGTATGCAAGGTTGCCTCTGATAACCCTTGATGTAGAAGAACTTGGGTTATATCAGGCAGATTTCAGACCTGGGTGGAGGGTTTTCACTTGCCTTTTTGTTCTGAGGTGTGAATTTTAGCCCCCCGATAAAGTCATGATCCCGTACAACTTTTCCTGTGCTGTAACAGCTATGAGCAGATTAACGCCTTAGTTGTGACTGTAATGTAGTCAGCAGCCAACGTACCCTACTCCACTCTGTCAAGGTGAAGTCACTTCTCCTATTCTTCTGTCTACTGCCTTCAAGTCCAAAAGATTTCCTGTCTATCTTAGACCTAGTTCTTTGATGGATTGTTTGTTTGCTGTATCAAATCACCTTTCAGAACATTTGGTGTACAGCATCTAAGACCTGCAGGATAGATGGCATTAGTGATCACTCCTGTAAGTCTTTGCCCTCTAATGGTACTGATTTTTCTGTCCTTCATGAGTAATTCTTACCAGTATTGTTGTTCATGTTTTTTTCTTGTCAATTGAGCTTTGTTTATGTCAGACTCAAAATTATACTGGGTGCTTTTCAAGGTAAATGGCACAGTAAACCCGGGAAACTTTATAGGACCATAATAGCTGAACTATTGCGTCCTCAGCCTAACTGCTTTCCAAAGTTGAGCATCATTGCTTTTGAATCAAATTCCAGGATTATATTCTAGGAAGAAATGTGGTGGGGCAGGGAGCTCTCTATTACATTAGTTTTAAATAATACCTAGAGAAAGAAGACTGGGGTTTTAATTTCTTAGCACAAAGAGGTGAGATGAAAATGAAGTAGACAAAATAAATACCTTTTAGACAACAGAATCGGTGGTTGGTAAGGATCCTGTATTGAACTTGTAACAGGTTTGCAGAGTGGCTGCAGTTTTATGTTGCTGTTACCAAGATGCAAGTAACAGCTTGATGAGTATGAAATGGTGCATTCCTTCTTTATCTCTTTTGCAGAGAGGAGTCAGGATAGCACTGCAGCAGTGCTCTCTGACTCCAGTTCCACACAGGATATGTTTAATGAGCCTGCCAGTTCTCAAGACAGCCTGAGGAAGACTTACACAGAGAAGAGGATTTCTACTACCTGTGCTGATACACTGATGCCCAGCAAAGAGACCCTGGGATCTACAGAGGAAAAGAGTATGCCTGATTTAATAGATAATGTCAGCTGGTATATTCTCATTGAAATGTTTCTTCTGGCATGCAGAAGCACTGAAATATGCTGCACTGTGACTGAGAATTTTAATTAGGCGTTACTGCTGCATGTATGTGTGTAGCTTAAAATTGGAACTGTGCTTTGCTTATGTGGCCATCATCCCAATTTGTACTACCTGTTAAACCTCACAAAGAAAAGAATACAATACACAGCTGTCTGTGGTGGCCCTTTTAGGGCTTGCCTTCTTTTAGGTTATTATTTACTCTTTCTTCAATGTTTCAGATGTCCAAATAATTTAAGGAATAGTTATTTGAAGATGATCTCAAATAAAACATTTTTTCTTTTCCCCAGGTATAGATGCTCTTTTTGTTCTGGCCCAGTAGCAGCTCGATATTCAGTATATAGAAGAGCACAAGTAGGGGAATTTGATGTTTTATTCCATTGGATACTTTATTTCAGTGGAGAAGTGGAATTACTCTCTACCAAACTTTTCCATATATAATAGAACTAAGTGTTCTGTATTCCACTGGAAAAATTATTTCAAAATCCATTAGCTGGAATTTCCGTTTGTCTGATGTTTGCACAGTTGTATGTGGCAGAAGATAGAGAGGCTGGGCTTCAGGGGAAAGACAAACAAAACCAATGTATAAATTTTGCCCACCTTTCCTGGTTGTGGAACCAGAATGTGGTACATTACTGACATTTATTAGAACAAATGTTGTATTTTTCCATAAAGCTATCTGTAGAGTAAAATTGTAATGGATACATAGATTGTCCAAGCAAATTTTGAAAAATTTCTGTTCTGGAAAACGTGTTTGACTCAAAGTTCAGCCTTATTGGAGAAAAAGTTAAGGAGCAGCTTCATATTTGAGGATGAAGTATATTTTATTATATCTCTACCGTGCTAGGAGATAAGATCTAATGTAAGAGGCTCTTTATCCTGGCAAAGACAAAGACACAGTAAATTTCCATGACTAAAAATCAAAGTTAAAAAAATTAATCAGCATGTAGCATGAATGTTTTCAGCAGTAATGACTACCTAACAGGAAATGTGGAAGCTGCCACTGTCACAGATGTTTTCTGAAGTAAGATTTGGTATCCTTGAAGAAAAGATGGGTCAAATGAACTATGAGTTATCAAGTTAATTGCAAAAATATTTGGATGGAACTGTAGGTCCTATATTATCCAGAAGGCCAGGATAATGTAGCTGCTGGTAATCATTCTATCTGAGCCTAAATTGTATTCTGGAATTGTGTTGTTCTAGGTATACTGTTAAGAATAACACATTTCACTTGGCAGAATGGCTTTAATTTTCTGTTCCTTCTTCCTTTCTTTGCAATAGAATTTTACTGAATTTACACTTTTATTTTGTCGTGTGTCTCCTCCCCCCGCTATCTTCCAACAGTATATAAAATCCTGCTTTGTGTAAGGGGTGCTGAATTCTTAATATTGTTCAGGGAAAAACCCAAATGGAGACATCAGTGTGTGGCTCTGTTTGTTAATGAGCTGAAGGTTACTTATTTATTAAACATCAGAAATAGTCATAATTTTTTCAGGAACCACTCAATAATTCTGTCTATGCTTTAATGAAGAAAAGGATTACCATTTGTTGTATTTAATTTTGTGTATTTCATTTGCCATTTTGTAATTTTCATTGTCATTTTTGTCTTCTCTTAATGTTCCAGTTGCAGGAAAGTCAGAAGAGCTGCTGGAGAGCTCAGAATCTTACCATCCTGCTGAGCCTACTGGCCAAAAAACTCTGGTGGATCCTCAGTCTGCTTCTGGCAATCCCCTCAAAGCTGCAATCCCCCCACCCTCACAGTGGGACTGCAAAAAGAAAGCTGAACTTTGTGGAGATGCATCTGAATTTCCTCATGGTCTTCCAGCAGACCTTGAGGAACAGCGGAAGTTCCTGACAGAACAGTGTATTGCCTCCTTCTGTTTGTGTCTCAGCCGCTTTCCCCAGCACTACAAGAGCCTCTACAGATTGGCATATCTGTACACATACAGTAAAACACACAAGGTGAGTAGACCACTGATACAATAGCTGACTAGCTGTGTTTATTGCCCGCGTAAACAAACTGTATTGTCATTTGTACTAATTCAGAAGTTTCAGTGTTAAAATATAGCAGGTAAATTTGTTTAATGCAGTTTGGATTGGAACTATGCTTTGGGAAGTCTTCAGCTCCTAGATTGTCTGGAGATAAGATCTAATATAAGAGGCTTTTTATCCTAGCAAAGACAAAGACACAGTAAACTTCCATGACTAAAAATCAAAGTTAAAAAAATCAGGCCAGTTGAGTTGAAAATTTTTTTTTTATTACTGAACTAAGTAATTGTTTGTCATTCAGCAGAGAATTACCTTTTAGGTATTACATAAATTAAGATGTTCTCGTAAAAATGACAGCAATTACTTATTTTACTAAGTGGACTGAAAAGCGATTTGGAAGCAGAAATTCCATCCCTATTGGTGTAAACACATCATGTGACACAGACAGACTTTCTGGGTATCTCCGGTCTTTGTAGAATGAAAGTTTTCCTACTGTCAGAGCATAGAGGGCATCTTGAGTAAGACAAAATTATTTGCTGTTTAGAAACCACTGAGTGAAAGTCTGTCAGAGATTCTACTGCTCACGAGCCGGTGATTTTGGATTAAACAGGAATAACAATGTCTTGGTGACTTTAATAGTATCAGTTCCTATTTGAGGTGAGGGCAAAATAACTTGCTTCCTCCAGCATGACCCTTGCATAATAAAATTATCATAATAAAATTAATTTCAAAGGCATTCTGCTATGAATTATCATTGTTTTGGTTTTAAAATTGTCATTCTTTATTTTACTTACGTTATTATAATCCTTTGTCTTTCTGAAATATCAGTTAGTAAAACATGTATGAATAGTAGGTTGAAATTATCAGAGTTATTTCACTAATTGTCATAATGGAGGTTTGAACTCACAGATTTTGTATTTGGAAGTCTTGTTATGTCATATGCTGCTCTGCATGGCTTCCTGAATTCTCTCCCCCACCAGTACTGAAGCTTGTGTGAATAATAGGGAAGGGAAGGTAATGGAAACAAATCATACCCCTTGCCTTATAGGAGAAAACATACTAACAGTACTGCTGTGAATTGAGCAGTAGCATGTCTTAGCAATCTACTGAAAGATGATGAATATTCTGTTTGGCTGTACAGTGATCCAGAAACATATTACCATTTTTTTAAAGATAGCTTGTTTTGAAAACATTCTCATGCTGTTTGTATGTGACAGTTGTTAATTTTTCCATGGAGCTAATCATTAATAGGAGCCATAGATTCCTGCAATCTGTCATTACTGTTGCTGACAAATGATTTTGTATCAACATTCAACAAAAAAGGCTGCACGTTTTCAATTTATTGGTTCAAGTAGCATATCCTTGCCTGAGGAACTACTTCCAAATATTTTCTTCTTTTTTTTTTCCTGATGAAGCCTTCTCTTTTGCTTTTTGTACCTCTCTTCCTATATAAATATCAACTTAGTGATTTGTAATGTTTTTCTGTATGAAATATGCATTGTTGTCTAAACACATCTCCTCCTGGAACTCAGAAAAATTGAATCCTGCCTGTTTGAGCCTAGTAGTTACCAGGTTGGCTTTGACTAGCATTGTTGGGTTTTACTGTCCTTTTTTATACCTCGAATACTGTGTTCAGTTTTGGGCCCCTCACTACAAGAAGGACATTGAGGTGCTGGAGCGTGTCCAGAGGAGGGCAACGAAGCTGGTGAAGGGCCTGGAGAACAAGTCTTATGAGGAGCGGCTGAGGGAACTGGGGCTGTTTAGCCTGGAGAAGAGGAGGCTGAGGGGAGACCTCATCGCGCTCTACAACTATCTGAAAGGAGGTTGTAGCGAGGTGGGGGTTGGTCTCTTCTGCCAAGGAACAAGCGATAGGATGAGAGGAAATGGCCTCAAGTTGTGCCAAGGGAGGTTTAGACTGGACATTAGGAAAAACTTCTTTACTGAAAGAGTGGTCAGGCCTTGGAACAGGCTGCCGAGGGAAGTGATAGAGTCACCATCCCTGGAAGTATTTAAAAGACGTGTAGATGAGGCGCTTAGGGACATGGTTTAGTGGGCATGGTGGTGTCGGGTTAACGGTTGGACTTGATGATCTTAGAGGTCTTTTCCAACCTTAATGATTCTATGATTCTACTTCTCTGCATAACAAACAACTACTCAACACTGCAAAAAAAAATCTTCCTACTGATATATGTATACTACATACTTTCATGAGATTGTAATTTTCTTTCTTTGATGATTCATTCAGGTTCTTTTGTAGAGCATTGTCAAATGTCTGTGTTTTAATGGTACACTAATATGTCTTTAGTGGGAGTTATACTCCTGAACAAATTTAAAAGACAAAATGCATCTATGCATTTTCAGTAATAACTGGAGTAAGAAGTATGCTTAGATATACTGATGATAAGCCTGATTTAAAGAATGAGATAAATTACATCAGGTTGAGTTACTGTGCGGGCAGACTGGATTACTGGTAAATTTTAGAAAGCTGAAATTAATTTTTAAATGCATATAACCATCTTGGAAAATTCATCATTTATGTACCAGTGCCAGGAATTTGTATGAAGAATTTAGACTGATGGCCAAAATTCATGGTTGGCTGGGAAAGGAGAGGATTGGCAGGTCTCCATAGTGCATAGAAAAACAAGTTTTCCATATGCAATCTGTTTTCTCCCATTTTACAGTATTGCCGGTTTTGCTGTTGCGAGATTAGTAAAAATAGTTGTGAGTGCTTTTTTTAACATCCTTTTCAAAATCTTTCAACATTTTGTTTGGCTATGTGTACTGTTTTTTTTCCCCCTGCAAAATCCTGCTTACTCTTTGGAGGCTGTTTCTCTTTGTTTTATTCTGTTATCAGAGCAAATTTGTACATAGCTGTTTTTTGTTGGAATAAATGTGCAGGAAAGTAAGGATGAGTTTTCAGAAGTTACTTATTGCCGTTTGGGCAGTAGTTTTCGTTTCCCATTCACCTTGTCTCTGTCTTGAAATCCTCATCCGTTGTGATCACAAATCCTTGTGATTTTTACCTGCAATATTAGTGTTGGCACAGTTTGGAGGGAGAAGATAGGACTTGGCAAGATTCTGTTCATCAGTATAACTAAAAAGTTTTGTGAAAAGTATTTGCCTTATGGTCTTTATGGATCAGTATGTAGAACTGGTCTGATACTCTGCAACCAGCAGATTGACAGGAAATAAAAATATTTACTTATATGCTTTTTTTATCTCAAAATAAAAAATACTCTGTAAATCCCAGAAGATTCTGCTCACAAATACTGTTTGTATGACTTAGGTTTTTTAAGTTTGTATCTTATATTATGTCCGTTATTAACAGAGCCCTCAATGGGGAAATTAATGTCAGGTATAACATAATGTCAGTAGCATGACAATTTAGTCAAACTAGGCATAATACATGCATGTAAAAATTACAAGATTATATATATATATATGCAGGTTTAATATGTACTTAGAGACAGGCATATTTTGTAGGCATAATAGATGTAAGCATTTCAAGCAGCAACAGTTTGGTAATAACAGTTAATTCAAAAGGCTACACTTGAAGGTCAATAGTCTTTTTGTTTTGCTTTTATTTGATGCAGTAGCACTAGGGGTTTTTTGAGATAAAGCCTTCTATCAGACTATAAAAGAAAATAGAGGGAAGGATTAAGGTGTAGTAGGATGTTTTGGACACCTCTCAACAACACTTTATGGAGTTTCCAAGTTAGGTAAAGATGACTTCTGACACAATTGAGTTAAGGGGTATCCACCTCAGGTAACTCAGATTTCCACTTGGTTGACTATAAGAGATTTTCCTTTTCCACTGTAACAATGCTAGTAAACTTTTTTGCAAGTTATTGTACCCTGTCAGTCATCTTGTCTTTGAATCTTGGGGTGATGAAGATGTGGGAGGCAACAGCTGAACTGGAAAGAGTACTTCATAATTGCCCTGAGTCAGACAGCAAAATTCAGCATTTCAGACTGGCAAGCAGTGTGCCAAGAAGAATAAATCGTTTTTGCTATGTCCTGGATCCCTTCACCTACTCCTAATAACTTTATCAGCTAAAAACTAAGCAGAGCAGACTCTGTGAAATCTAATGAGTTGAGACCTGCTCAGGCATATTTACTGGGAATAACTGATCATGCTGATTTAAGGAGAAGGGTACTGGAAAATCTGTAACTACATCTTTTATTCCTATTAGTTTTGATTGTGTGAAGTTACCGTGTAATTGCCCCATTTGTCTGAATGATCTTTTTTCCTCCTAGCTAGGTTACTGTCATCATCTTGTTCAATAAAAGCCTATGAATTATATGTACTAAATTCATGCCTATGGATGGTCGGTATAATGCGCACAGCAGATCACCAGAGCATGACGCTACACTTAATGATCTCTTAATATTTTTATCGTAAAACTTAGATCAGGAATACATTCATAGCTTAAATTTGTTTAGACTGGGATTTTATATTTAAGCTTTGTAGTGGTACCTTTCTTAAGGGTTTTGTTTTCCTTTGATTTTTATGTGATAGTTTTAACTGTAAGATTCAGATTGCCACACGTTAGGCAATTTTTTACTTTGTTTTCACACTTGGAATTTACTTGTTTCTGATGACTATGATTGGCATAAAATAAAGCATTTATGTGCCTGGATCTTGGATGTTATGATAGGCTTATTTTTTTCTGGATTCTGATTTTATTCAAAACAGGATGACTTTCACAGAAGACCAGATTTTTGTAGGTTCTTTTGTGTGTTGTATTTTCTTCTGTATGTATTTCAAAGTATTTTGCAGGCTTAGGTTAATAGGATTACAGAAATACATATTACAAAAGAAGTAGCATAGCAAAAAGTTAGTATACAGTTAAGTTTACATACTTTGCTTTCTTCAATCTTAATTAAATTTGACACTTGGTGATAATAATTAAATTTACTTGTTCCCCTGACTAGCGAGAGCGTACCTTGTGGTATTTATGAGTGAACATGTATTTGTTCCATACCAAAAGAAAGCTATTCAAATCCCCTCAACTGTCGTACACTATAATCATGAAGGTCCTGTATAAGTACCTATATCAGCTCTCTGAATGAAGGATTTTTGACATCTGTAAATATCTGGTTAGTATTTCCAGTGTTCAGCTCTCTTGCACATGAATCCGTAATCAGCATTTTGCTAGAGGGGATGCTTCAATTCTGGTAAGACATTGGAGATTTCTGCATGATTACTGTCATTAGGACAAAAGGATTTATGGTTGAGCAGGGCTTTTACTGTTTCACCAGTCCTGTAAAGAAAATAATCTTTACAAGATTATTGTAATACAGTAATCTTTATAATTATTGTAATCGTTATAATCTTTATAATTATTGTAATATCATACCCACCCACCCACACAAAAAGATATTACAACTGGAATATACTTCTTGGATGGACATGATTTAATCAAATTTATGATTCACAGAAACGTATTTCCAACCCACAGAACACAAATCAGAATTCAACATTTTCATTTGTCTCTATGAACCAAACATCTTCCTCTTTGTTTTATCTGCTCTGTAGTGAAGTTGTATCTAAAAAAGCCAGTCTAATGCGACTCGAATGCCACTTTCTAATACTGAAATAAAAAATGAAGCAAAGCAAAACTTCCATCAGTGAAACCTTACAATTAATAATTGTACCATCTGTTAGTAATGTTTTGCCGGGAGCCAACAGCTGTCCCTAGTTCTCAACTACACAAGAGATGTTCATGCATTGAACTCTTAGAGGGGTAGTGCTTTTATGAATTTTTGATTGTTGTCTAGCATTTCGTCTCCTACCGATACTTTCTGGTTAACTCACTGAGCACTATTAACCAAATTTGATGACAGGCATGGAGTTTTCCAGAGAGGTTAAGTGAAATTACATGGAGGGCAATGGCTGGATAGAGGTAAAAGGCCTGAATTCACCACCGCACTAAAAGAAGGCTGCAGTTTAAGCCTAAAGATGGCTCTTCTGTTAGGCTGGGCGCTGGCAGGTATGCCTTGCAGATAGTTAGCCCTAGGGCAGAGCTGAGGGGTGGCTTCAAGCGTGTGTATGTGGGGGGAAATTGGAGGGACTGAGGGACAGGGAGGGCTGGGGGGGGCAGTGAGGGGCCTGGTGTGTGGAGGAAGGCTGCAGGATACCCAGGACAGTGAGTTCCACTGTTTGCTGAGAAAGTTTATCTTTTTATATGTAAATTATTTTATATTGAGCATTAAAATTCAACTTTTAACAAAAAGTTAAGGTGTTTTTAAACATACCTATAGTTCAGGTTTCTTAGGTGACAGATGGAAGAGATGGAAGGTGGATCTCAATGAAATTAAGTTTGGTTTTTTTAAATAATAGCTTTTAAAAAAGGCAAGAAAGCAAAACTTGGTATGAGGCTGGATTCAGGAGCTGTAGGGGAGTGACTAACCTCTCTGCTGGGGCTGATCAGTCTGGATGCTTGCTCTGAGAGGCAAGCTGGCTTCTCTCTCCTGAGGGATGTCTTCCCCAAATCACATGCCTCTACAAATACTGTTGGAACAGCAGCTACCTGGAAAATGAGAAAGACAGTGCAGGTTAATAAATAAAAGCAAGCGAGGGCTTTGTACATCTACCTGTGGTGGCATTTCCGTCCCCTGCCTGCAACTCACCTGCCCCATTTTGTCCACAGAACCTGCAGTGGGCCCGTGACGTGCTGCTGGGCAGCGGGGTCCCCTGGCAGCAGCTGAAGCACATGCCTGCCCAGGGCCTCTTCTGTGAGAGGAACAAGACGAATTTCTTCAACGTAAGTTTATACAGCTGATAAACACACCCATACTTTCTCAGCCATCATTTTAACACCTGTTTCTCACTTGAAAGGTTTGCGAAGGGACAGTAATGTGAAATTCAGCAAAGGTGCATTAAATGGGTGGCTAAAGGAAAGGCAAGATTGTGTTATAGAGATGTTTACTGGGATTTTCCTCTCTTGAAGGGAACCACATTAGAAGGATTATTTCTTATGAGCTTGAAAACATCAGGAAAGAAGCACGAACATTTCTCAGTTATGCATCATTTACCATATACTTGATGGTTGAGCCCGCTATAAAAATTCTAATTCTATTCATCTTAATTATCCTCTTGTTTACTGTTTTTCATCTAGACTTGCACTTCTCATGACAAAAAAAAATAGTGCTAGTTGCTCTAAGAAATCTCCGGAGTTGGAAGGAGCTTTCTTGTCTTCAGCTTTTGTAGCGTGGCTCAGCAGAAAGAGTATTTCCAAGTCCCACAGTGTGGTAGCAGCACTGTCATATAGACTGTCCCTATTCTGTGATACCTTCTAGTCCACAGGGGTGTCTATGCCTCTCGGTGACATGGGACACAGCATAATTCTGAGACTTACATGAGCATTTATCTATCAAATGCCCTGCTGTGACTGCGACTTAACACATTGCTGTTGTCTTCAGTATCTCTGGCTTTTCTGTGGTATGTTCGAGGTTTTTGTGCCTTCTGCCCTTTTGTGATAGGATTCTGTAGCTGTTTTGTGGCTTGCAATGTGTGGCAAGAACCTGGAGGTATTCTGTTTGTCTTTCTGGACTATGTATCTGTTATATGGTTGCCTGTGATTGCAGTGACAGAATTTTATGTCTCTGCTTTCCCATCCAGTGCTTCTGTTTTAATATTTTAATTGTGAAATTTATTTCCATTTTATATCTGTTAACATCTATCTTCATTTTTGCTGTATGTTGTGTTAATTAGCACCTCTGTGCAAACTTCTGTTAAGTATAAGGTAAGTGCTCTTCTCTGATTATAATCCCTCAGATGGGTTGAACAACTAAGGAATACTGACAGTGGTTCAAAATTGTATCATGGATCAGTTTGCAAAAAACTTCTGTGTCATTCCATCTTTCTGGATAGAAGTTTTGATTAACAAATACTGTTGCCTGATAGGGTGTAGACCAAACAGTTGTGACCTGATTGATGACCACATGTCTTTGTTCTGGTTATTTCCCTGCAATATCTGCCTGCTTTCTTTGCAAGAATCCTGCAGTGTGATTAACTCTTCAAGCTGGTGAATACTTTGGCTCAGATCCAGTTAACACAAGTATTCTCGTTGAAGTTAATGAAATTACTCAACATGCTTCAAGTCAAGTGTGACCTTTGCATAATCAAGGCTGACTTGTTCATTATTGCAGGGTTAAGTCTCGAGTATCCTATGTTTTTATGTATGAGGAAGATGAGCAGTAGGGAACTGAGCAGTGTGTGTAAGGGAGTGTTTCTACTTCAAAATGTGAATTACCACATTAAGAGAGATCAGTGGTTGACCGAAATCATGTCTAGTTTTTGAATGCTAATGCTAGATAATTTAATTTAAAGGTAGATTCCATTGTATCCCTAGGTGGATGTTTCCAGCATTATTCCAAAAACCAATCATTCCGTATTCCGTATACTGATCTTTTTATACTCTGAAGGATGAAAAATGCTAGTATAGATACTAGACAGCTGTATAATAATTCTATTTTGTAAATCAACAAAAATGTATTTCCCATAATTTAATATTATTTATTTTCTTTAATAAGAAATTTAATACACTTTGAAATAAAAGATAATCTTCAACAAAAGGTATATGCTAGCCCAGTGCCATATATCAGCAATACTATTAGAAAAGAGAAAAGATGTGAAAATTATGTTCTCAGCTTGAACGTGGGTCTGCCAACAGACAAAGACAATGTTAGTCTAGAGTCCTCCATGTAGACGGCTGCCTCCAGGCTTCAGAAATTTCAGTTTGGGGACTCAACTCCAGTGTGTCTGAGCTATGGTGATAGTATAACTAGCACATGGAGTGCCTCAGACAACTTGTTGAGGCCTTTGTGAATCAGCGCTAACATCTTAACTTATTCCTGCACGTATGTAGGTGAGTCTTCCTGTTAACAGATACGATGTACCTTATGAGTTTAGCATGATAAAATATTTTGGTGGTCTCATTTTCTACCCAGCTATATTTTCAAAATCCTCTTCAAGTAACACTCTGTGTGGAACATGTGGCAGTAATCCAGTAGAGATGACACAAACATAGCACAGTGAGAAAATCCAGATCCGAGGGAGAAAGGGCTACAAGTGCCCATGAAAAAAAGCTGTTAGTGTCATCTGGTATTCCAGAATTGGACAAACCTAAATCTGTGAACAACTTGGAAAAAAATCTCTCAACACTGCGTTGACCTTGTCTGGGTTACACCTCAACTAGTTTGTTCTCATGCAAAGCTCCTTGCCAGGCGGTGGGTAAGCAAATGTACTGTACCATCTGGGTCAGTGCTCAGAATATAGACTTGTGTGTCATCCATTGCATACAGATGGTGTTACCAGCCCACTGTCCCAGCTAGTGTCTTCACATAGAGAGTCAGGTGATAAAACAGAAATTACAGAGCTCTACAAAAGTAAGTAGTCGCATCTAATCTTAGAAATTAAATGGCCAACCTTAAGATTTTCTAAGCTTATTAATGTCCTCCAGGGTTATTTTCAACAGAAACACTTTGCCTAAAGTGTTTATTTGCTTCCATGAAATGCATTTGGTTTTATTTTTGAGAACTCTCTGGCCTTCATTATACAAAAGAGTTAAATGAATGTCTAAGTGGCTTTCTGTAGATACTGTGCTATTGAAATACCTTTTACTTCTGGAGCAAGTAGCACTAGTGTTTTTCATCTCTTGTACAGAAGATTCAGGGTTGTTGAAATTACAGCTGACTCAATTTTACAAGTACAAACAACAGTGTGCAAGAGAGAAAGCTGGCAGCTCAAAGACAAGTAGGGACTGTGCCAGCCTGCTCCTCCCAGACATTTTATAAATCATGCATACTCCTAGTAGAATTATTTATGAAATGTTTATGACAGCACTGTATGAAAAGAAATAAACCTGGGTAAAGCTGTCTCCTGTTAAATTTTACTGCAGAACTGCTGGTCTGAATCTGTGTGTCACGGTCTGTTGTCTAATTTGTTAGCTGTCACTCGGCTGCGACTGAAATCTCTTTGAATTCATTTTTTACTGTCTTCAGAATGAGCAAAAAAGGCATGTTCACTTAGCCCTGATTTCTCCTCATCTGACATATTAGAATAATGTCAGGATGCACAGGACTTTCCCTTTTCAGTTCTAAGAAAAAAAATGCTTACTGCATTATTGTACCTATTTGTTTCCCAAACAGAAAAGAATGGCCCTGATTTTCTAGGGCCAGAGGTTTTTGCACATTCACGGCCCTGCTAGTGATGGCAATCATTGTATGAATGATTATTGCAGTTAGACTTATAGGAGTTTTAGCTGTGTTCCTGTAAATGAATACCAAGTCTTTTTTGTTCAGCCAGTTACTCATTTCTCTGTAACCTCCATTTACAGGTACACTATAGCTTTTCTCCTCTTCTTTATCTATGTGTGTATGTAAATATATAGAGAGGGGTTTGGGTGGTTTGGTGGTTTGTTGTTGTGTTGTTTTTTTGTTTGTTTTTTTTTTTTTAAAGAGGGCACCAGGATGGTTTCTATAGTAACTAAATTAGAAATTAATTCATCAGGAGAAAAAAAAAATCCCAAAACATTGCTTTATATAGTAGGGCACTTTTTTACATATATTCAGATTTCATGCCACTATTAATAAAACAAATAAACTTTGTGCACAGATGATAGGTATTCATCAGTCTGTGCGTGGGTGGTGACTGTGGAAGAAGCATTTTGATGGTTGAGCTCAGTGTACCGGTAACTTCTCCATATGGTTTAATATACAGTATATATAGTATTTGTATTTTCCTGGCACATCTTCTCTGGTAATAATAATCTAATGTATAATAATAATAATAATAATAATCTAATGTAATAAAGATCTTGATGTCCATCTTTGGTAACTGTTCCCCACATATGAAAGCTGTGCATGCACACAATATACTATAATGAAGACATTCGTGTGCATGAAGTCTTGCTGCAAACTGTTAAGGGTAATTGTTCTATTTTTAATTCCAAAAGAAATGCAGTATGTTTATTCTCTGCTGTATCCCTGAAGCTCTTCATTCTGTGGTCTGAGTAAGCAGGGTCAAATTAAGGTAGCAGCATCCACTGGGAGCCAGAAGCTGAGAGATAGCAGTGATTTCACTTTAATTTGCCATTGTTTGTACCAGGTGTGACTGGGCACTGGCAGGAGACCTCTGCTGTGCAGAACTGCAAGTTCTGAACACTGAGCAGTTGAAGAATAAAGTCTAAGTTTGGTGCTGCAAGTTTCTAGAGGTAGTCTTATATAGCATGGTGATAACCAGTGGGTGCTTTATCTCTGTGTAGCAAGTTTCTAGTTGTGTTTCAGGTTGAGAGTTAAATCTTTCTGTCTTACCAGAGGAAAGTTGATTCTGAAAAGGAGAGCAAGGTGCAAGGGCTGGCTCTGTTTTGGGATTCTGTACAACCAGAGTCATACAGGTGAATTTGAGATGTAGAAAGGAAGGCTGTTATGAAGTCCCTAATACAGGGGACTATCAAGGGGAAAAAAAGGCAACATGCCTCAGCTTTCCCAGAAACTGGGCAGTTACATCAAGGAAATTTCATTATATGCTTTGATTGTTTTTATACCTTCCTTTAGATATACATTACTGGTCAGAAACATGGCACTGAGTGAGAATACGGGATTTTGTTTTGAACTGATACAGCCTTCTTTTGTTTCTCTCCCAGCTCCTGAAGTATAACCTCAGCATTAATGATTCCCATGACTTGAATTAAAATGAAACATTCATTACAGAATTTAATGTCTCTGTTAGAGATAACTGGCTATATATCATCTAAAGGAA